TGGCCTCAAGCTGCCCAGGGCAGGGTCAGGCTGGCTCTGAGGAAGGATTTCTGTGCAGAAGGGGCTGTTGGGCGTTGGAATGGGCTGCCCAGGGCAGGGGGGAGTCCCCGGGATCCCTGGGGGGGTTGAAGAGTCGGGCTGAGCCAGCGCTGAGGGATCTGGGGGAGTTGGGAACGGTCAGGGGGAGGCTCATGGGGGGGCTGGAGGAGCTGCGAGGGCTTTGCCAACCCGGATGGTTCTGGGGTTCTGTGAGCTCCAGGTCTTGATGTGGGAACGGTTGGTCTTTGCCTGCTTGCGAAGAGGCACAAGCGTCTGGTTTCTATCAGAAGAATATCTACCATGAAACGAAGAGCTTGTGTGTTTCCCAGTTCTTTGGCTGCTGCCTTCTACAGCCCTGAATTTCCTTTATACCGTTCATTGGGGGAAAGGACAGATGAAACCGCCAGCACCTGAATTCTCAATGATTTGGTCAGCGATTTAACGTGCAGTATCGGCCTGAAGTTGGCTCTTGGGTTGTCCTCCCCTCAGCCGCGGCCTGGCCTGGTGTTGGACCTGCCAGGAACTGGTCCCTGCACTGGGAGGGGTTGAAGGGAAGGGTAGGAGAATGCAACAGGCTGGTGATACATCTGAGCGGAAGATAATCCTTTGAGATCTCCCCTCAATATCTGTTCTTTCTCTGACTTTCCTGGAGTCATTCCATCTGCCTCCTCTCGTGGGCCGACTCCAGATCCATCACGTATTTCACATATCACATTCCTTCTGAAGTTAAAAGGATGTGTTTCATCCTTTGATTAGATTTTTGCAGATGTGGATCCAGATTGCATTACACTTCAAGGGGAATTTCCTTTTTACGTCGAGGCCCAGATCACGCTCATATTAAATAAAGATTACATTTGTTCCCTGGAAAATAATTGTACAGGGCTAAGCCTAGAGAAAAGGACAACTCAACCATGTCTGTTCTGAGGAACCGCAGCCTCCAAGGTGGCTTCATGGCATGGGGGCAAGTGGAAGTGATGTGGTGGGGCAGCTCCTGCACAAATCCACCGTGGGGTTACGGGTCGGGTCCTCGCCCTGTGAATTTGTGGGGTTACAGGTCTGGTCCTTGCCCCATGAATTTGAGGTGCCGCAAAGCTGCATGGTGGGGCATGACAAAGGCAAATCAGTGCTTGACCTTACACCAGCAGGAATCTGCCGAGGGGAGTGGATGTCTCGGAAATAAATGAGAGCAGAGGTGGCTTTTGGCAGGGGAAGCTCTGCCCGTCCCCTTCCGCAGTGCATCGACTCGCTGGCCCGGGGCAGAAAGGGAAAGGGGAATACAAAAGCCCCCCCCGGGCAGGAGCAGCTGCTGCTCCGGGCACAGCTTCCCTGTTGGCACCAGGGCTGGGGGACGCGTTCCGGCAGGGTTTCTCCCCTCGGGGTGCCCCCTTTTTGGCCCGGGGACGAGCACTCAGGAGCAGAAGCGGCAGCTCCCCGCTCCCCAGAGCCTGCCAGGAGGTGAGTTCTGCTGGAAAAACCCAAATCCTGGCTATTGGAGGTGGCTTTGGTTTTGGCACGGGTGCTGCTCCTGCCTTGCCAGTGCCAGGGCTGTGCCCTCCTTCCCCTCCGCCCTGGCGCTGCCGCCGGGCCACGGCTCCTTCGCCCTTTCCTGGGCTTGGCTCTAAGACTCGGAGTCCTGTGCTGAAACACAGTGTCACCCCTGCAACTTCTGCTGAGAACTTTTCATCACGGATGTTGGCAAGTGGAGGAGTCAGCACCTCCTGCGCTCCCTCCCAGCCTCGGGTTCCCCTAACTTGAGCTCTTTTTTTTGGCATTTATCGGCTGCAGCCGCAGTTGCAGCCGTTTGATGAAGGGCTTTTTTGTTTTCTAGCCATAGCACAGCCAAGAGCTGTACCACATTAGTCAGAACAGTTCCTAGAAACTTCCAGCTTTTACTTACAGGAAAGTTGCTGTTATTGAAATCCACTATTTGTCATAATTGTATAAACTTGTATATATAGAAAACGCCAAGTGATACCGTGCATACTTTCCATTTCAGTGGAGACATCTGCCCATTTTTCTGATTTGCAGACTGGCCCTTGCTGTCGCTGCTGACCATGAGCACAGAAATATGAAGATGCTTCATCTCCTCCTGCTGCTGTAGGTCCGTGCCTGAGCGCCAGCTGGGAAACGGCAGCTCGGTGTCCTGCGTGTTTGTGGATTCAGTGGACACGGAGGCATTAACTCCAGCCAAGCAGACGCGCTTTGGTATCAGTACAGCTTCCTAAGCATTGCCCATTGCAGGCATGGCTCTGTGAAACATTAAAATGAGTTTGACCCTGGTAAGTGCTTCATAATTTTTTTATCTGCTGTTGTGTGCAGTAGCTGACTTACGGATGCAATTTTTATTCCTCCCTCTTGTTGTCTCCCATTAGGAGAATACTGACTCTCTCATGCCTTGCTAGGAAGCCAGGTGGTGTAAAATGGAAGTCGAGGCGTGGTGCCTGGCCGCGGGGTGAGGGCCCCGCGGGGTGAGGGCTCTGGGTCTCCGCAGGCACCCGCCTCGCTCCGGGCAGCTGCTGGGGTCGGAGACTTGTCCCCGTCCTGCCGGCGGCGTCCCCAGGCCGTCGGAGCAGGGAGGGGCGTTGAAAGGTTTTTCTCAACAGCTTCCAGCCTTCATTTCTAGCTCAATAAACAGCCACGAACATCTATTTCTCCTCTATTCTGTAACGCGTTTTTCACCCGTTAGATCACCTTTATTAAACCCAAAGGCCATGTGACAGCCAGCGTTTCCTCCCCATGTGTTTTACACCGGTGTTTGCACGGCATCCAGCGCTGCTGGCCCCCAGCCTCACCAGCGAGGGCTTTGGCCCCAGATCACCCCCTCTTTCTGCCCTTTTCGGGGGCTGCTCTGCACCCCAGGAGGCAGCGGAGCCCTCCCCAGAGCTGGGAGCTTTTCCCAGCACGCCTCCGAGTGAGCGTCTTTAATGCGAACGCTGACTTTCCTAGTGAAAGCTTTCTGGTTCAGATCGGTGCTGTCACAGCCTTGCCAGGACAGAAATGGACAGAAAGGGTAAGATTTGATGAAAAAAGAGGTGTTTTGAGCCTGTTTTTTTTGAAAAAAAAAAGTCTGATGACTCCGGGCTTTTTATGTCCCCTCCAAATTGTGCATGAGAAACAAATCCTCATCCATCCCCCCAAAGCCTGGGCTGCACAGTTAAAGACTGAAGACTTCCTTGCAGTGCAGTCCTGCCAGTTACAGGAAGGAAAAAAATCCGATTCCCAGCACTTACTAGCGGAGAGTATTCAATCTATCGACGAGGAAAATCTGTCAATTGATGTGCAGTATTTGAGAGAGCGAATACGAATTGATGCCTATAGATATTGATATCTTTCAGGAACCACAAGGGATTCTGCAACCATTTCCTCTCTTTAAATTAGGATAGAGATTTCCACTGAACTTCTTGCACGTGGAACGCTGAGCAAGCGGCTCTTAAAAAGCCTAAAAATCGTAAGTCTCCGTTAGCGTCTAGAATTAATGAAGAAACTGGAGTGCGTGGCTAGAATTTTCACCTGTATCTTGAGTTTTGGGGCAGCACCAAGCCACATCTTGGCTAATGCTCCAGCTTCAGAGCAGTGCTACATCGGCACAGAATTAATTCTTAAATTACCAGCCCTCCTTCATAGAAAATTCTGATTTTTTTTCCTGATTTATTATCCCCGCAATTATTAGAACTAGGT